CCCCCGTCCTCCCCGGTGGACACAGGCACTGCCCGGTGACCCGGTGACAGGGTGCTGCGACACAGGAGCAGGATCCGGAGCAGTTCACGCCGAACATCCCTTCTGGGCACTCTGTAGGAGGGGGGCAGGAGAGGACTAAGCCCTGGGCATGGGAGGCCCACTTCACACTGTCCCTGCCTGCCCTGACCTTGTGGGGCTGCCCAGCCTGGGAGCCTGCCCTGCCCCGTGCTGCCCTGCACTGCGCTGCCCCGCACGGCCCTGCCCTGTGCTGCCCTGCCCTGCGCTGCCCTGCACTGCCCTGCCCCGTGCTGCCCTGCCCTGCGCTGCCCTGCCCTGTGCTGCCCTGCACTGCCCTGCCCTGTGCTGCCCTGCCCTGCGCTGCCCTGCACTGCCCTGCGCTGTCCCACACTGCCCCATGCTGCCCCGTGCTGCCCTGCCCTGCCCTGCCCCACACTGCCCTGCCCCGCACTGCCCTGCGCTGCCCCGCACTGCCCGCACTGCGCTGCCCTGCCCTGCCCTGCCCCGCACTGCCCTGCGCTGCCCCACACTGCCCCATGCTGCCCCATGCTGCCCCATGCTGCCCCGCGCTGCCCCGCACTACCCTGCCCTGCCCTGCCCCGCACTGCACTGCCCTGCACTGCCCCACAATGCCCCGTGCTACCCCTCGCTGCCCTGCCCCGCCCTGCCCTGCGCTGCCCTGCCCTGCCTTTGTGGGACTGCCCCGCACTGCACTGCCTTGCACTGCCCCGCGCTGCCCCGAGATGCCCCGTGCTACCCCTCGCTGCCCTGCCCCGCTCTGCCCCGCGCTGGCACCGACTCCAGCCCCAGCAGGAGCAGCGGTGCACTACCAGGGTGGGTCACAGAGAAGGGCAGGGACAGAGGAAGGTTAGCCTCGAGGCACCATCGGAGATGGGCAGGGGCAGACAGAGGGCACGCGGCCTGTCAGGCAGGAGCCGCGGCCACCAGGACCCTGGAGAGCTCCCAGGAGCAGGTGGCAACCTTGTCCCCCTTCCAGCCCCACTGGGGTCCCCAAGAGAACCCCTACCACTCCAGCCCACGGGGGTGCACCCATCCAGCCCCTCTCCTCCCCACCCAGATGGTACCCCACTGTACTGCACCTCCGACTCAGCCCCACGGGCTGTGGGAGAATCTGCCTCCACCCCACGGTGCTCACAGGAATGGGGTGGTAAGGAGTGGTGTCCAGAATGTTCTAAACAGAGACAAGCCGGTGCCCCGAGGCCTGGGCTCCCCATCTTGAACTCAGAACAGGGGCCCAACAGCCTGGGATTCAGAGCACCTTGGCGGTGGTGGCCTGGCACTGGGTTCCACAGCAGGGCCGCAGGAAGGTTCACAGTGCCACACACCGGGCTCTAGGACCCTGTGACCCGCAGTGACCACTCCCTGGGCCTGGCAGAGCGCAGCGTGGGGAGGCTGCCCTGCTGCCAGCCCGGAGGTCCAGGGAAACGCTGCAGGCCCCACAGGTGTGCAGCCGTCCCGGGACGCAGGGGCAGGCCGGGGCACGTGCAGCCCCCGCGCACGCTCAGGAGTCCGCAGGGCGGGGCGGGGCAGGGAGACTGGCCACGTTCTGAGGCCTCCCACTGGGCCGCAGCGGCCTCCCCACTAACTAGCTGCAGACCCATGTGCGGGGCAGTAATAGTTCCCAGAAATGTCTATAAAAGTGTGTGTGTCATTTCCTGTGGCTCATTCTTGGGGCACGGGAGGCTTACCCTAGCAGGCAAGGAAAAACAAAAAGAGGAGGGGGCTTCTACCTCCTGACGCCTGGGCTGGCTCCAGGGTTGCTGGGCAAGGCCTCCTCCTGAGCTCCACATGAGGCCTGGAAGGCAGGTCCCAGGCCTGGGGGTGGCTGCGCTGCAAGTATGCGCGTGTGCATCCATGTGCCCATGCACACATGTGCAGACTGTGCACACTGCATGTCTGCATGGGTGCATACGTGTGTGTGTGTGTGTGTGTGTGTGTGTGTGTGTGTCAGGTGGGAGCTGTCAGAAGGCCAGGCACTGTCTACATCTCTATAAGCCCACAATGCTTACCCAAGGGGGAAAGCAAACACTCGGAACCACTGAGCTCAACCTGAAGCCAGACACCGTGTGTCCAGGGTGGGATTCCACCCATACCCATGTCACTCCTGCACCAACAGAACGTGAGAACGCAAGTTGGCATTATCCCAGAGCGGGCCCAGCTGAAGCACCCACACAGACTCTGGGTGCAGACTCTGGGTGCAGATAGATACTGGGTGCAGACAATGGATACAGACACTGGGTGCAGACATTGGATACAGACACTAGGTGCAGATAGAGATACTAGGTGCAGCCAGAGACACTGGGTTCAGACACTGCGTGCAGACAGACACTGAGTTCAGACACTGGGTGCAGACACTGGGTACAGACACTGGGTCAGATAAGAGACACTGGGTGCAGGCTGGGGCCTGGCCAGGGTGCTCACAGCTCTGGTCGCCGTGGCCAGTGTGGGCTGAGATGCTGGCCAGAGGGTGCTGACTCCCTAACGCTGCTCCCCTGTGGCCTCTGGGCAGGCTAGGTGGGGCAGGGCCTCTCTGTGTTTTACCCCCAGGGAAGAGAAGCGGCCACGGCTCTGCCACCCCTCCCTGGCCCGGCCACCTTGAGGCAGATACTATGTATGGGTCCCATCAGCTCCCACCAGCTCTTCAGGCCAATAGGAGTGGACAGCAGGGACCTTGCCAAGGGAGGCCGCGACCTTCCCGGGCCGGACAGCAGCTACCGCCGCAGCCCCCAGGGCACACACCCAGGCCTTCCCTCCCTCATGGGCCCACGGCTGCTCAGGGCTCCTGGTCGTGATGCCTGTCATCCCTGCCCAGCCCAGGTGGGCTGAGGGGCACAGGGGGCTTGGCTGGGGGCTGCTGGCAGCCGCGGTGCCCCACCCTCCCGTCCAGCTCCCTTGGCCTCCCACTGCCAACAGGTCAGGGTGTGGGTTCCCAGCATGCCTTGCTCCAGGCCCGTCGTAGGGCAGCTGGGACTGAACTCACTGGTCCACTTGGGCTCTGTGTCCTGAGATCTGCTGGAGGGGACCCCCATCTCTGCCTGTGCAGCTACAGCCCATACCTTACCCCCCCACCCCCGGACTCCAGGTGCAGTGCTCTCAGAACAGCCAGTGGGGTGGAGGAGTGAGAGTGGTTTTGGAGAGGCACTGACCCCTTCTCTGGGTCAGGCCCGGGCAGAGGCAGAGCAGCGCCTGCCCTGGGCAGTTTCTAAAGCACACCACAAGCAGTTGCTGCGCACAGCAGGTAAAGGCTCCACGGGGGCCCGGGTACTGTGGCCAGCAGCCTCGAGCCGAGCGGCCCTCTGAGCCACACACATACGCACGACCCACGTGACCCACACACCGGGATCGCCAGGGGTGGCCACTCACCTTGGCCACAGTCCTCCCCCAGGTAGCCAGGCGGACACTGCCTCCGACACTCGCCACCCACAGGGTCACAGGCCACACCTGGTGGACAGGTGCACCTGTGCCGGCAGCCTGGCCCAAAGAAGCCTGGCTCACACTCTGCAGGGTGAGAAGGCGAGGGTGAGAGGCGCCCAGGACCGCCCGCCCCGCCCCACCCCACCCCTCCGCCACCCCTTCCAGGCCCTGGCTCACCCTCCTGGCACCGCCGGCCCCGGAAGCCAGCCTTGCAGGAGCATCCGCCGTCCCTGGGGTCACAGGACTGGGTGTGGGCCCGCTCACAGCTGCAGTCCTCCGAGCAGCCCGGCCCGAAGGCCCAGGGTGGACAGGCTGCACCATAGAGCCGTGAGGGGCCTGCCGGCCCGCAGCGCCCACCCCTCCCAGCCCTGGTTACTACGGCAACAGTGACGGACCCCGGAGGCTGTGCCCCCTTCCAGAACTTTCCGAGGATCCCAGCATCACACTTGTACCCATTTTATAGCCAAGAACCAGGGTCTGCGAAGTTAAGGTTTCGCCCTGGACCACACCGTTCCCACCCAGTCCTGACGTTCCCCTCTCCCAACACTCCTCTGACAAATGCCAAAGGAGGTCTGCCCTCCGCCGCCCCGCCAGCCTCTTCCTTCCCTGTGCACCCCAGGGCTCACCCTGTGGGGGGGCGCTGAGGACCAGGCTGTGTTGCCAGGCCTCACTCCAAACCCCAAGCTGTGTCTAGGCCCCTGGCAGGCTCCCTGGGGAGGCTCGTCCAGCCGGTGCCTACGGCCCAGCCCCTCTGGAGACCAGGGCCAGGAGGCTCCCTGGCGGGGCGGGGGGGAAGGAGACGCCCCTGGAGCAGCGCAGATCCCAAACTCCAACCCAGAACACTGCACGGGGCTCCCAGCACGGGAGAGGCTCAGACCCTCTGGCCCCGGGGCCAGCTTACACACTGCGGGGCAGCAGGACTCACCGAGGTGGCAGAAGCGGCCGTACAGCCCCGGGTCGCAGAGGCAGGCCCCATAGAGGCGGTGGCACCGGCCCCGGTTGGCACAGTGGCACTTCTTGCGACAGTGTTTCCCGTAGAAGCCCTTGGGGCAGCCTGAGGAGATGGGGGTGGCCTCAGTGAGAGCCGTGGTGCGCGGCCAGGTTCCCACATCTGTCCCCCGGCACAGGAGCCCGGAGAAGCCCCACCCTGTGCGGAGCGATGCACCTCCCGACCGTCTGGCCAGCCTCTCCACGGTCCGCAGCAAGGGTGGGAGCCGGAGCACACCGCTCAGCGTGCGCCTAAGGGACAGCGTCCCCCCCCCAGCCTGCGGCCTCCTCGACTCTGCTCCTCGGTGGGACTGAGCCTGACTCCCCCACCTCACAGCAGGAAGGACGCATGAGCCCACTGGCCGGGTCCCAGCCCCAGGCTCGAGAGGCTCCAAGGCTAGCTTTGTGCTTTCCAGAATGTCTTCCCCTGCCCCATGTCCTTCTTCCTACCAAAGGGGCTGCAGTGGATGGGAGGTGGACCTACAGCTCACCCAGGATGACGTCATCCCCTAGGATGACATCATCACTCCCAGATGACATCATCATATCTGTATGACATCATCCTAACAGGATGACACCACCATAACAGACTCTCCAGGCTGACTGACAGAGGACAGCAGGCCATGTGAACAGCGGGCCACCCAGAGGAGACAGAAAGTCCCGCACGGCTGCCCTTGGCACAGACCTCAAAATGCAGCAATGCCCCCTGGGAAAACGCCACTGGCTCTAGCTCCCACAGAAGGTTTAACTACAGTGAGACAGGAGATCCGCGTCACCCCACGCAGTCACCCACACCAGGGCTCGCTTCGCTTCTGTGAGTCCCGCAGCTCTACATGAATGTTTCTGGGAACGGGAAGGGGGCTCCCTCCTCCCCAGGAAGCCCAGTCCAAGCACCTGCTGCAAGCCAGGTCTCCACCTGCCGGAGCTGAGCCCCAGGGAGTTAGCGACAAGGAACACTCGGCATCTGTCCCTTTAAAGGCCTCCTCCGTCCCGGGCCCCGCAGAAGCCCTGGAAGCCGGTGGGCAGGAGTCCATGCAAAGCCCCCGTTACTGGCCCTCCTCCCCACAAGGAGGCCAGGCAGGAGACCGCCCCCCCAACCCCAGGGGCAGCCACAGAGGCTCCCGAGGGGTCGCACGCACCATCCTCACAGCGGGCTCCGCCGACTCCCGGGGGGCAGCGGCAGGCCCCCGTCACAGGGCCACACGTCCCGCCGTTCTCACAGCCGCAGGCCGAGCTGCAGTTCTTCCCAAAGGTGCCGGGAGGGCAAGCTACGGGGGTGAGGAGAAGCACCAGGGTCACTGGTCAGTAGGGCTCTGAGCAGAGTCCCCGCCACACACGTTCCAAGGCCCACGCGGGTTCAGACGCCACCGCCTGGAGCGCACAACTGTGACTCCCAGACCCAGCCACACTCACGGCGGACGAGACGTCACCATCCAACCCTGCACCCTCTCGCTCTGATCGCACGCATGCACCCCGAGCACCCCGAACCTCACAGCCATCACAGCCCGGCAATGCCCACAGGTGCCCAGTGCCGTCCCGGTGATGCCCACAGGTGCCCGCCGCTGTCCCCGGTGATGACCACAGGCACCCACCGCTGTCCCCCCAGTGATGCCCCCGGTGCCCACCGCTGTCCCCTGGTGATGCCCGTGGTGCCCACTGCTGTCCCCCCAGTGATGCCCCCGGTGCCCACCACTGTCCCCTGGTGATGCCCACAGGTGCCCACCGCTGTCCCCCCAGTGATGCCCACGATGCCCACTGCTGTCACTCTGGTGATGCCCATGGTGGCCACCCCTGTCCCCCAGTGATGCCCACCGTGCCCACCGCTGTCCCCCCAGTGGTGCCCGTGGTGCCACTGGCCCTGTCTGGGGCTCACCCCCCACCCCGCCCAGCACTGTCCTGCAGGGACTCACTCTCATTGCAGATGAGCCCGGTCCAGCCGTCCGGGCAGTCGCAGCCATCCAGGCCCGGGAGGCAAGTCCCTCCATTCCTGCAGTCAGCGCAGGTCAGGCTGCAGTCATGGCCGAAGGAGTCACCCAGGCAGACTGGGGACAGACAGGGAGAGGCGCCTCAGAGCCGGACCCCAACCTCAGATCAAGAAAGAGGACTAGAGGGCCAGCCCAGCCCAGAGGCCCCCGAAGGAGCCAGAGGCGGAGGCCAGGGAGAGCCTCTCTGGGAGCTGCGGGCCTCCTGAACCCCACATGGACCTGCACCCTCTGCAGGTCACTGCGGGACACCGTGGTCAGCGGCCTGCTGACCCTGAGGGCAGGAGGGCAGCACGGGGCCCAAGCCCTCACCAAACTTCTCCAGGAGCCTGTGCTCTCCGCGGAGCTCCGCCTCCTCCTCCTCCGGCCCGTAGTCATCCTGGAAGAGCTGAGGTAGTTCATCTCGCAGCACCGCGATGTGGGGCAGAGGCCGCACGAAGGGCAGCTGGCCGTCCAGGTCCACCGTGGGCTCCTCCAGGGCTGGGGATGACCACACAGGCGCCTTATGCCTGCCACCCACTGCTCTCCCAAGGAGAGCGGATCATCTCTCATCTGATCAGGGGAGCTAGGCCACCCAGAGCCCCCGGCCGGCATTTGTCTGGGGAGGGCTGTCTCATCGGCCCTGGTGCCCTACCACCATAGCAAGAGGTGGCCTGGAGCAGGGGCGGCGCGTGGCCGGACAGCACGCAGGACTGGGGACAGGGAGGGGCGGCCGGGATGCTCACGGGTGCAGCCTCGGCGGTCCTCGTCCAGCCGGTAGCCGGCCTCGCAGAAGCACTGGAAGGAGCCAGCCAGGTTGGAGCAGTGATGCTCACAGCCTCCACGGCTGGAGGCGCATTCATCCACATCTGCAGGCAAACGGGGCTCCTGGTGTCGGGAACGGGGGCCCGCCCTGGCCCTGCCCCCTGGACAGAGCTGAGGCACACTGGCAATGCCAACCCACAGAACGGCGGTGTCTCAGGTGGCGCCAGCCCCTGCCAAAGGAGGCCGGACCAGAGATCCGCTCAAGAGCAGCCAGGAGGGCAGACCCCACCCCGTGAGAGCAGCTGGTGACCACAGGCCAGAGAGAGGGAGGAAGGCTGGCACTGCCCTTCTGTAGCAAGCAATGGGGCTTGGGGACAGGGACTGGCAGGCTGGAGGGCCAGCCTGGACCCGACGTCCTTCCCCGGCACCCAGGTGCAACCGAGGGCGGGGACTCACCCTCACAGCTGCAGCCGTCGGTGCTGAGCCGGTAGCCGGCGTAGCAGCCGCACTCATACCCACCAGGGGTGTTGGCACACGCCTGCTGGCAGCACGGGGAATCCATACAGTCGTCGACATCTATGGGCACACACAGAGCCCACCTGTGCACCCCATCCACAATCTCCTGGGCACAGCCTGCACACACTCTCACACACAACCACAGGATTATATAGAACAGGCCCAGGCAGCCAGGGTGGAACTGGCTTCCAAATGTGGCATCAGACCAGTCCCTGACCCGGGGTGAGCCCTGGGCTGCTGTGGGGCGGGCAGCCGGAAAGGAGCTGGCTCATACCAATGCAGGTCTTCCGGTCCTCGTCCAACTCATAGCCGCGGGGGCAGGTGCAGAGTGGCCCCGTGCTGGTGTGGCTGCAGCCGTGCGAGCAGCCACCATTGCCAGCCTCACAGCTGTTCACGATCTCCATCTCAATCCCTGCAACAAAGCCAGATGGCGGGGACAGGGGACAGGGCACAGGGTTAGCAGCCCTCTGCCCAACAGCTGGGGCCCCATCACCACGGAAGGAAGGTGAAGATGGCACCCTGGGGCATTCAGGGAGCCCTCTGCCCACGGTCTGCTCACGGTAGCACTGCCGTCCATCGGCGCCCAGCTCGTAGCCCGCGTGGCACACACACTTAAAGGATCCCTCAGTGTTGAGGCAGCCATGGGCACACTGGGCCAGGCCCGTGGCACATTCGTCCACATCTGGAAGGAAGAGAGCAGGGGACAGGCTCAGGGTCCCAGAGGAGCGCGGTGGCACCGGCACCTGCTGCTGACGCCAGCTCGTGAGCATCAGCCTCCTGGCTGTGGCCGTGCGGCGCACACTCTCGGGACCGGATCCTGCCTGCCACCACTGCCCCGCGGGTTCCCCAGGGGAAAACTGGTCCCTGGGCATCTGGGCGTCCTGGATCTTCCTGTGTGTGTGTGACGTTGAGCCTGCTGCAATCAGCTGTGCCCAGAGTGACAGGCTTGCCTGTCACACCCAGACGAGGTCTGGTGGTTCAGTGTGTGGGGCCGTCCCTGCCCTGTGGACAACTGGCCATCCCGCAGGGTGCCTTGGGAGCTGACCACTGCTGCACAGGCTGCCAGTTAACATGTCAGACTCCCTCGGAAGTCACTGGACCCAAGGTCAGGCGCCCCCAAGTCTGCCCATCCTGGGGTCCACAGATACAAGGAAGAGCCGGGACACCCAGACACCCAGGCATAAAGCGAAGCACATAACTCACCGACTGTGATGATGACAGCTAGCGGGACATGGAAAGGCATCTGGAAACTGTGCCCAAGGACCTGGAGTCATGGATCAAGTGGTAGAGCACCAGACATGGGCAAAAAAAGACTGAGCAAGAGCACAAGTCCCGCTGGGAAGGTGGCTCAGTGGTAGAGTGTTTGCCTAGCATTCATGAGGCCTTGGGTTTGATTCCTCAGTGCTACATAAACAGAAAAAGCTGGAACTGGTGCTGTAGCTCGAGTGGTAGAGCGCTAGCCTTGAGCTGAAGAGCTGAGGGACAGCGCCCAGGCCCGGAGTTCAAGCCCTACAACTGACAAAAAAAAAAAAAAAAAAGCACAAGTCCCTGAGTTCAAACCCAGCAAATAAACCAAAACAAAGATTAAATAGGCTGGGTACCAGTGCCTATCACTCCCAGCTTCTCGGGAGGTAGAGGGGTGGGGATCGTGGTTCAAGGCCAATCCACGCCAAACATTCTCCAGACGCCCATCTCAACCAACAGCCGGGCATTGTGCGCCTGTCATCCTACAAGTACCCAGGGAGTAGACACGGGGGAAAGTGAGTTCCTACCTCAAAAAAAAAAAATACTGCAGCCAAAAGGGCTAGAGGCATGATCAAGTAGCACAGCCCCTGCCTAGCAAGCCCGAAGCCCTGAGTTCAAACCCCAGCACTGCCAAACACTAAAATAAAATGCTACGCTGAGCAGTGTCCCTTATTCCTGGTGAAGCACGATTGGGGAGGTGGCTCACGGAGTGATCCCTACTCCCCCCGAGGAAGGGGAAGACTGAGGACCATCCCAGCTCGCGCAGGCATGCTGGGTAGGTGCCTCTGTCCCCACAGAGCGGCGGGGGGAGACCCGGGGGCCGGAGGGAACGGAAGGATGTCCTACCCTCACAGGCCTTGCGGTCTGACGCGAGCTGGTAGCCCGCATGGCACCCGCAGTGGGCAAGGCCCCGGCGCGCCTGGCACGTGTGCATGCAGCCGCCATTCCCGTCTGCACACGGGCTTCTCCCTGCAGCAGACACAGAGGGATGGGAAGAGATCAGGGCAGGGTGGAAGGGGACCGGGTGACTTGAGACTCCTGTCCCCAGAGCCCGCCTAACCCCCAGTCTCCCATGCATCTCCCCATGTGGGGTGAGCAGCGGGAAGCATGCCCACAGCTCTGAGCTCCCCTGTTCCGGCCTGGGCAGGGGCTGGTCTCCCCATAGTTGGGAAGCTTCTGAGACCCTCTGGAAGACCCCACAGCAGGACTCTGCTGAGGAGCTGCCAGCCGCTGAGCTGCCCCCCACCCCCAGCTCAGGGCTGTCAGGGGCTCAGAGGACCCCACAGGACCAGCTGCTGAGGGCTTCCAGAGGGACACGGCCAGGCTGGGCCTGCCGCCCCAGAGTCCTCTCCTGGAGGCCAGGATACCAGAACCAACAGCAGTGTTGTGACCCCACACCTCTGTAACCCCAGCTCTGTGAGCACCTACTTCTAGGCCCTATGAGCCCCAATTCTGTGACATCTCCCTGTCCCCGCTTCCTCCCCCAGCCCACGGTCCCAGCCCGGTGAGTCTGCGGCATCCACTCACGGACACAGCGCCTGCCATCCTCCTGCAGCTGGAACTCTGGCCGGCACTGGCAGCGGTGCCGCGTGGCTGTGAGCTGGACACACTGGTGCTGGCAGCCCCCATTGCCCAGGGTACAGGAGCTGATGGCTGGGGACACAGAGAGCCCAGGTCAGCCCAGGAGGGAGGGCCGGCGGGGACAGGCAGGGCCCAGCCCACAGGGGCCTTCAGAGACGCCCATCCACCCCTGGCCCCCGAGCGGGGCTTCAGGGGGACACACTGCTCCGTGGCCCGTCTGGCCCACAGCCTGACTTTGCTCTCTCTGCCACCGATGGGTCTGCAGGATGGTGGCCATCTTCTGTATCCTCCTGTCCCAGCCCGCCTGACATCTGGACACAGAGCCAAGGCGGCACACACCGCAGCACATCAGGGGCCACTGGGTAGGCAAGGTGAAGCCTCGGCACCCCAGGAACAAGCCCCCCGCCCCCTGGAAGGACGGCAGAGAGTGGCAGGGACCTCCCTCCGGGTTGGTCCTCAAGGCAGACGGCGTGGAGATGCTGTGGATGGCGCCTGTGGCCTGGCCGGGGCCACACTTCACACCTGACCCCAGGATGCCCACTCTTCCCAGTGGCCAAGGGACAGCACTCCGTGAGACGGCAGGCCGGGAACCAGCGCCCCAGCCCTATGCGCTTGGCCCCCTGCAGGCAGGGCACGACTCTACGGGAGCAAGGCGAATGTGTGAGGGCCTGGATATCCTGTGGGTGGACTTGTGCCCATGCCCTGTGCTGGCCAGGGAGGCTGGGGTGGAAGTGGGACTGGGCAAGGCGCTGGTGGTAAGCTCCAGGCCAGCCGCAGCCAGCTCCTTCTCCAGCCAGCCTGGATTTGGTTGCAATCAGGTATCTGGCAACCCTCCTGTGGTTAGAGGAAGCTGGCTCCAAGCTCAGGAGGGAAGCCGCAAGAATGTCTTGCTGCCGGGCAGGACAGAGCACCGCCGCGGGCCCGCGGGCCTGAGCCAGGGTGGGCTGGAGCAGACCTGAGCCGTGGAACTGGAGCAGGCTGCGGGCTCTCCCCACGATGCCACCTTCCCGAGCACTGGCTTGGTGGGGGACTTGGGCTGCACACGGGTTGGGCTTGGGGCTGGCACCACAGACAGGCAGGCGCTCCGGGGCCACGGCGCCAGCGGCCGCACGGAGCACATGAGCTGCCTTGGAGCTCCGAGCAGGCCAGGCGCACTGTCGGCCAAAGGCAAGGCTTCCTTCAAAGCAAGCTGGTTTAAAAACCACAGCCCTCACAAAACGGCCCTCTCCCCTGGAGCGGAGGGACCACGGTTGAGGCCCACCCCACATCCTCAGAACAAAGCCAGAAGTTGGGGGTGGCAGTGGGGCTTCAGCACACTGAAGTGGGGGGAAGAACGGCAGCAATACCCTGAGCCATGCCCTGGGTCCAACTCTCTCCCAGATCGGAGAGCAGGAGCTGTGCTACCCCCAGGCCCGGCTGGCTTCACCTGAGCTGGTTCGGCCCCAGCCTTTCTTCCATAGTATCAGGGGTACGCGCGGCCTGCGCCGGCCCCGCGTTCCTAGGGGCTCTGTTTATTTGTGTTCACCACACCAACAGCGTCCCTGCTCAGGACACGTAATAGGAACCAGAAGCCCTTTCTGGCAGAGCCAGGCAGACAGCGCGGGGGACAGAGTCCGGGCAGGGAAGCAGGCTGGACAGGCACCTCATGAGGACCAGGGCCCGGGAGACCGTGGCAGGGCAGGAAGGAGATAGGCACCCCTTGTCCACAGCAGGGCCCAGGATCCCTCTCTGCCTGGCACCCGCAGAGCCCATCCTCCTGTCCTCCAGGCCACAGAGCTGTGATCTCCAGATGTTCCCAAGCTGTGCACCACCGGGAGCCGGGCCAGCACCACTCCATACATCCTGCGTGGATTCCCGGAAAGCTGAGCGAGGCAGATTTTCCACGGTGCTGGGATGTGCGGCTCTGGGAAGGGCTGGGCTCTGTGTGACAGGGCCCCAGGGATGATGACCGCTTCCTCTCGTCACTGAGATTCAGTCCACAGACCCCTCCCCAGGCCACAAGCCAAAGCCTCACACCTGGTTCTAGTTCTGCAAATCAGAACTCGGAGCTAAGCTCGGGCGTCTGTCAGAAAGTGAGGGTCGGACGTGGCCTCCGAGCGGGAGAAGATCCCTCGGCCTCCCTCTGCAATCGGCATATACTGACACAGCTGGCTCCACAGTTGGGTGTGGTGGTTCACGCCTGTAATCCCAGCACTGGGGAGGCTGAGGACTGAGAGTTTCAGGCCAGCTTGGGCTACATGACTAGACGGGATCTCAAAAATAAATACATAAATCGGTTCCACGAGTCCCGGCTCTGCTTTTACTTCTATTACACTGAAATGGAATTCTCGTAAAGGAAAAACCCTGCCCGAGGTCGGGGCAGGAAATCTCAGCACAATCCTGCTGGAGCCTCTAGCTTCCATCCAAAACCAGGGGCCTTCTCTGCCAGGAGCCTGCTCCAGTCCCTGCCCACGACCAGACACTCTGTGTTAAGGTTTATATCCCCAAAACGTGTGTGTGGAAGCCCTAGCCCCCAACGAGATGGGGTTCAAGTGGACTGGCCGAGATGACAGGTAGACAAGGAGGGGGTGGCGAAGAGGGACCCAGTGAGCCTCCAAGGGGTCACAGGTGCCTGGAGAGCAGCGGCCCTGCCCCCAGTCACCGTGAGGGGGCTGCACAGATGAGGCCAACCTCCAACACCCTTACTGCCTGGACACCCGCTCCTCACCCAGCCACAGCCCCAACCTGTCCCGCCTCACACGCCCCTGCCCGTGGAGGCCACGCGAGCATCACTAGCTTTGTTTCTCTAGAGAACGTATGTGTTCCTCGTTTGCCATTTAGATGGTTCATCCGTCAGGCCCGTCAGATGCCGAGTTCCAGAGGTTAGGCAGCATCTGGGCGGTAGGCCCCCACTGAGGGAGAGACGGTGGAACTGTTAGGGGGCAGACCTAACAGGTAGCAGTTAATATGCAGCCCATCATGGTGCTTCCTATTCCCATAGTGCTCCGGGGTCCTGACCAAATGCTTCTTCTTCCCATAATGCTCCGGGTGCCCGCTCAACCAATGGAAAGAGCTGGGACAGCCCTTGTACAAGCCATCAAGCAATCAGCACAAAGCCGGGAGAGCAGAGGCGGGTGAAAGGCCCTGGGAGCGGACGCCTCTGGACTCTTTGGGCCCCTCGCGGGGGAGTTTTGCTGCTTTCTTTCATGGCTTTCCTTTACTTTCAAATAAACTTACTCTTTTACCTTAAACTCGTCTCTGCCTTTAACTTCTTTAATGGGTGGAGAAAACAATCCATCCCCCTAGACCGCATGACCACTACCCAAGCAGTGCCGTCCGTCATCCGTGAGAGATGCTATTTCAGCCCCAAGGTGAAGCAACCTCCTGCAGCTCCACACACCCTTCCCCAGCTCACCTCAACTAACTCCCGTGGCGCCCCATCTCCCTGCATGCCTGGCGGGGCCACTGTCAGTCTCATGAGCTCCCTTCCCAAAGCTTAACACGCTCCTTCCCTCTCCATAACTTAGCAGGCCTCTTTCCTAGGCAACACCAGGCCCATGTAGTAAAGGCAGTAAGTAATCAACTTTACCTCTACGTTGGGATAGCACTCCTCTGGGGCAGCTACCACCATCTAAGGCAGCAAGAGCCCCTTAGAGTGACCTTCAGGTCTGGGCAGCTGCAGGGCCCCTTATTTACTACTTGGACAGCAGCCATCCATCCTGGTCCGCCATGATGAAGCCCCTGGCCCGCACATCCACACACCAGGGTCTCGGCCTCCTAGCCCCTTCCAGCCCCTCCTAGACCTCCTAGGCTATATAGGTCACCCCAGACAATAGCGGGGGCTTCCTCTCACTTCTCTCTTGTGAGAAGGGGTCTTGCCCTTCCCTTTACTGGCAATAAACCTTTTCTTTGTTCTCTGTACCTGGATGTCTACATGGTTTTCTGGCAAAGTCTAACAGACTCTAACAGCCGCCCTGGTCTTCCTGGCTGGGCTTCGTTACCAGCCCAGGGTGTGTGGTTTGTGCCCTTGGCCTCCCTGGGTCAGGGTGAGAGCCTCCCCGCTCTGCCTTGGCCTGCTCACGGCCATGGGGCCAGCCGCTCCTCTTCCCACCTCTCCCCGCCTCGCTCGGCTCAGACAGGGCCTTGCGGGCTGCGCGCAAACCCTGTGTGCAATTTCACGGGGGTTCGGAGGCTGGGAGGCTTGGGGAAGCCACATCTGTGGCTGCTCAGGGATGAGACTGGCAGTCTGCACATTTCAGCTGCCTGTGGCTTTGGCCCGGGCCCCAAGTCACTGCCAGCAGCGGCCTGCAGGGCCCAAGCAGCCTCCTCTCTGACAAGAACCGAGGGGGTAAGCCGGGGGCCTGGGCAGCCCCCACACACACTGCCCTGATGAGTCGATTCAGGCCCAAGTCTGCCCAAGGCCACACGCTGCCACAGGCACACCCCTGCAGAGCCAGGTGGAGAGCAGGGCCCAGGTGTGGACAGCAGAGCCCACCCTGAGCACAGCCCTTCCAAGGCCAGTAGAAATGAGAGCAGGAGACTAGAAAGCCACCTCTGTTCTAGAGCCTGCCCGGCGCTCTACACCTGGAGGGGCTCTGCAGGGTGAGCCAGGGACAGCCACGGCCCTTCAGGTTGTCCCCACGTGTGCTACTCAGGGACCCGGGGGAAAGAGCTGCATCCGCGTTCAGCGTCCGCAGGTCAGACTGAGGACCACCAGGCAGGCAGGTGCCCACATGCAGACGGAGGGCTCCGTGCACCAAGCAGTAAGGGACCCAGGGACTGTTTTGTTCTCTGCTGCTCTGCAATATGTCACAGAAAAATAGGACTGACATGCCTAGCCGCTCAGCCAAACCGCGGCTCGGAGCAGGCCCACTTTCCATAGTTGGAAAAGGAACTGGCTCCAACCCCTGCCCCTGTGGGCAGGAAGGTAGACCAGCCGTCAGGCCTCCCCGCCCCCCTTCCCAGCCCAGAGAGAGGAGGGGCACCCCCAGGGATCCCCAGCAATGCCTCCTCCGAGAACCCCACATGGGGAGCTACTTCCCTTAGGGCAGCTGCCAAAGTCCTTCTTAGGAATTTGCATTTTTAAGAATGGAAATGGAAACCTCTCTGGGTTTTATTTCCACAAGACCATGGGGAAGGGAGGGCCGCGTGGTGCGTGCCCATTTCCTGTTCTCCTCCTCTATCCCCCTCCCCCCATTTGGAGGTGAAGTCAAGTGTATTTGCAGGCTGTCTTCCGGCACTGCCGCCGCCTCTGGGGTCTTCCCAGGACCCTCAGGGGGGCAGCACCCCGAGCCCGAGAGCTCCCAGCCAGTGCTGCCATGTATGGGTAATCCCCCCAGTAATTCTCACTCTGAGCTGCTGAGGCCCACAGGAAAGCAGCACCCAGGGGAGACAGGTGACAAACCCACACCAAACCCAGACATGGCTAGGAATTCCAGACACACAGAATCCACCGCCAACAGCCAGATGCCTACACGGCCAAGAGGTGTCTGCAGGGGTCAAACTCTGGGGAGGTGTGGGAAGGGGGCTGGGAAGGTGCCCAGGCCGGGCCAGCCCACCCGAGAACAGGGCTCCCAGGAAAGGAAGGTGTTCCCCAGCTAGACTCAGCCATAGGCCATGGGGGAAGGGGGGACAGGGAGGGAGGAGGTAAGGGGTCATGTGTTCTAGAAGGTTCCATATAATAACTCCTCGCTGAGGGAGTTGCAGTCACGAGAGACAGTCCGAGGTCTCAACGTCCAGCCAAAGTCCGGTGAGTCCCAGAGGAGCCCTCGGACAGGAGAGGCGGGAAGTCTGCACAAGCATGAGGGAGGCTCTGATGCCCTCCCAAACGGGTCCCTGGTGTGAGGGGCCCGCTGGGGGAGCTGGGCAGCCCTGCAGGCCCCGCCACGCTGTGCCGGTCACATCTGGGGCCTGACGTCTGACCTGCAAATGCCCTTTACAATGAACTCATGCCACAGATACAGACGTCTGAGCCCTGAGCGCAGAATCCTAGCATCTCCGGCTCCGGCAGGGGCAGAGAACAGAGGCCCAGCGGAGGCGGGGGCACCCACCTGGGCATCCTGAGGCCAGCCTCCACTAGTCCCTCCAGCCCTACCACATGGGCTGCACAGTGAAAGACCGCCTGGCCATCCAGGCAGGGACCAAACGTCCCAGGACCACTGGCTGGGATGGCCCGGCCACGGGCATCCTAGCCATCCACGCCTTAATCCTCGCCTTTGATCTTTTGGCAGGCATCTCAGCGAAGGCCCTCATTAGCAGAGGTGGTGGAGACAAAAATGGAGTGAGTGTCCAAGCCCTGGGGACAGCAGAAAACCAGCCAGCAGCAAGGGGACTTCTGCTTACCAGCCCCAAGTCCCCCTGGCCCGCACGTCCACACCAGGGTCTCGGCCTCCTAGCTCCTTCTAGCCCCTCCTCGACCTCCTACGCTATATAGGTCACCCCAGACAATAGCCGGGGCTTCCTCTCACTTCTTCTCCCTTGTGAGAAGGGGTCTTGCCCTTCCCTTTACTGGCAATAAACCTTTTCTTTGTTCTTTGTACCTGGATGTCTGCGTGGTTTTCTGGCAGGGGGAATGTGCCTCTGTCCAATGCCACTTCTCCCGGGACCCTGGCCACAGGCTTCCAAAAGCCCCAGCAGGCAGCCAGCTGGGGTCCGCCTGGCCTTAGCTCTCCTGAGACGCAGCACATTCCTGCATCTGCTTTGACTTTCCCACCCAGGGCAGCTGCCTGGCTCCTGGGAACAGTGGCCTGGACATGTGTGTGCAGAGTGCTCCCCCCTCCCCTCCCCCGACCCCCAGCCCAGGCCGGCAGGCTGCCACCCACATGGCAGCCAAGGAGGAAGGCCGCTCAGAGCCAGCTCAGGCTCTCTCTGGATCTCCACAGTGGAAAGAAGGGGTGCCGGCATCCTCGCAGTATCCAAGAGAACCACACGGAGGCCAGAGGCAAGGGTCAGTCTGTCTTGGTCCAGAGCTGGCAGAAGCCAGCTGTTCACCCCTCGTTGGCTGCAGCCTTTCTCTCTGGACCTCCTGTTAACCCTCCCGAGCAGGCCGTGTCTCCACTGAGGTCATCCCCCGCAGCAGAGACCCAGCAGGGGATCTGAGGGCTAGGGTCCACCTGCCCCAGCCTGCATCCTCAGACTCCTGAGGCCCAGCTCTGCAGGGGCCATGAATGGCCTTCTGCTGCCTGGCCCCCCTGTCATCCAAGGGTGGCCCGAGTCCCCCTTGAGCCTTGGAGGCAGCACAGCCAGCAGGGAGCCACACCGATGATCCCTGCAGATGGCCAGGCCCAGCCAGACTCCATGTGGCTGCAACTTAGACCATGGGGACCCAGCTAATTCAGCACCTGGAGACCTGCTTGCTCACCTAGCTGCAGCCTCCACCTGTTGGCTGTGGGATGCCCAGAGGCAGGGTGTAGCTGGGACTCAGCAGCCCCTCCCCTTCCCTCCCCGCCCCGCCCCAGGCTGGAGCCCTGATGATGAACACTGAGGCCCCAGAGTCAGCCCCAATGCCAGCCTGGTCAGGACTCGCCCGTGAGGGCCAAGACTGGGCACAGCGCCCTGGAGTGTGGGGCACGGCAGAGGCCCACAGACCCGGACTGGGGCCCAGGAGACTCACCCAGACAGGTCCTGCCGTCCGTGTGGAGCCGGAAGCCAGGCTTGCACTCACAGAGGTAGGAGCCGGGGGTGTTCACACACCTGTGCTGGCAACCGCCGTTGTGCGAGCGACACTCGTCCACATCTGGTGGGAGGGGCGGGGTTACCAGTGGAACAGCCATCGGACACAGACCCTATATCACTGAGCGGAAGGAGCTCAGGCCCAAGACTTCCTTCTTCTCGGGCCATGCCTGTAACTTGCCACCCCCAGCCCACACTCCCAGAGCCAGGGTAGACTGAGGCAGCCAGGCCCAGCCTTCCCTAAGAGGGCATGGGGGCAGGGGAGAGCTGCCACCCAGGTGTCAGTCAGAATGTGGGAGCAGGCTCATAAGGAGCCCCCCCCCAGACCTCAAGGCCAAGCATGGAGCAGAGCCACCTATGGAAGCCATTGTGGGGCAGGACTGGCCGCCCTGTCCAGGGGTTCTGAGCCCAGAAGGAAAACATGGGGACTCTTGAAATGACACACGCCCAGGCAATAGAGAGAACGAGGTGGGGGAGGGGGGTTGCTGGCCTGAGCAGTGGGGGGGGAGAGGGTCTGCTGGCCTGAGCAGTGTTCCCTCAGACTCATGTCTACTGGAACCTCAGAACATGACTGTCTGCAAACAGCCTTTGTGGATAAAACAGGATGGAGATGAAATCATTCTGTGAGCAGTGAACCCCAAATCCCAGGACTGGGGTCCTATACGGAGAAGGCTGCGTGCCAATAAAACAGAAGTAGAGTGCAGTGTCCCCAAGCTACCAATGGATGGGAACCAGCTGGACAGGCCTTCCCCTGCAGGCTCCAGAGAAGAGGCCTGCACACCTTGAGCTCAGAATCCTGGTCTCCAAGAGGAAGGGAGAAACTTCCCTGTTCAGAAGTGGAGGTGTGGCTCAAGTGGTAGGGTGCCAGCCTTGAGTGAAAAAACGAAGCAAGAGTGTGAGGTCCTGAAGCACCAGTATGGGCTCAAGAGAGGAAGTGTGGGACGGAAGGAGAAAGGGGAAGAGAAGAAGGGAGGGAGGGAGGGAGGGAGG